CTTCTCGCTTTCTTCAGATGATGCCTGATAATTTCGTTTCTGGACGACATCAATAAAATGGCCGTTACTGATAATATTTCTGGGGATGTTTCCACATCGTGGTGCCACCAAACACAGCATCCGTGCTCTGTCAGTGACCGGTGCCTTACTAGCTATAGCTATGGCTACTCGAGCAACTAGTACTAGAACGCAGCGGAACGGATGGGAATAACCGAATAAGCACAAGCACCTGGCGTGCAAGCAGGCAAGAGCTGCTGACCTGAACCCGGTGGCTTGCTTGCAGCTGACGGAGGAGAGGGCGCCGGCCACGCCGTGGGACTCAGTTCAACCGCAATACGTAGTTGCCCGGCCGGCGGGCGTTGGTCCTTCTACGCGCCCACGCGCGCAGCTCCCTGCCTTCGCCGTGCCGGCCGGCTGGCACCTCGTGCTCCCGCATGTGAGGTTGCTCCTCTTCAGGCCACCGCACGCACGGACGACGAGGAATGGCGAGCGACCGTATGGCTCCTGCTGCTCACGAGCGCGCGGCCACAGCGAGAACTCCGGCGCTGCGCTGCTCGACTGATCTCACGAGCACTTTATTTTTTTGAGAAACATCTCGGGAGCAGAGCAAAGCAAGGAATGGGTTAACTGATGGCGGGCCATTCCGTAGCCGCAATTGGTGTACGGCCGGGCAGATGGGCCTGACACGCTCGCCATGAGAAGCCCAGTGTGGGCAACAACCTTCTTTTTTTAAACAAGGCAAAAGATTTACCATTTTTATTAAATAAGGAGAAGAGTATGATTTAGTACATCACAGACCTGCCAAAGCAGAAAAAGGGCAAAGGCCTACTCTCGCGGCATCAAATTACACAAATATTTGACGTCCGCCATAGCCCAGATAGACGCCTCCTCCTTAATAGTTCGCACTATCACCGCCACAGGCGCCGCCTTAGTTTTGAACACGCGTGCATTTCGCTCTTTCCAAAGCTCCCAGCTTATAAGGTGGAGTACGGAGGCCAAGGCTCTCCTCGGGTGTGCATTGGTGATGAGGACTCCATCCCACCAAAACCTTATTGTGCTAAAGTTCAACCAATGGGCGGTATCGACATCAAGGTGCAGCCATGCAAGGACCTCCTTCCAGACCCGAATGGAGAAGCGGCACTTGAACAGGAGATGTGCTGCGGACTCTCGCACTTGATTGCAAAGCGGGCAACGATCACCGTTTGGCCACCCACGACGTTGCAGCCTGTCCGCCGTAAAGACTCGATTTTGTGTGACCAACCATGCAAAGAATTTACTTTTTTTGGAAAGGGGGGGGGGGCAAGCCTTCCAGACAACGGTTTGCAAGTTGGATTGAACAAGTCCAGCAAATTGGGCCAAGTAGGCCGTCTTGGCAGAGTAAGACCCATCACTAGAGAGCTTCCAAAGGACGGTGTCCGGGACAGTAGGTTGGACCTTGATAGGCAAGAGCATGTTCCACGGAGCAATGAGCTGTTCGAGATGGACTATGGATAATCATGCGCTTCTGTCAATCCAATTTACCCAGTTATCATCCCTGAGGGCCAAAGCAACGGTGCCACGCTTCTTCCTGGAAAGCTCGGAGATTTTTGGGGCGATGTCTTTGGGACGGATGCCGTCTAACCAAGAAGACTCCCAGAAAGTGGCCTTGGAGCCATCACCAATTGTGACCTTAGTGACAGCCGCAAAGATGTCTCGATCTTCCTTTCTAGAAGGGAGTTAAGTACCACACCATGCTCTTGGCGGTTCATCCCGCTCCAGCCATAACCATCTAAGGCAGAGAGCGGTGGCAAACCTTTTCAGATTCGGGATTCCTAGGCCCCCAAATTGCTTAGGCCTGCAGATGTGCTCCCGGTTAATTTTTCATTTGCCACCAGACAGGGTGTCAATTGCAACCCAAAGGTAGGATCTCCGCGGGCTGTTCAATTTCTGTAGCACCTCCACCGGGATCTCCAATGGGGTGATGTGGTAGATGGCCACCGCCGTAAGGAGCGCCTTGACCAAGGCCATTCGACCCGCAATAGCCACATGTCTCCCTCTCCAAGGAGCAAGCTTCACGGATGCTTTGTCTTCAAGGTGCCGTAAATGGACCATTTTGAGCCGTCGAATCGCAAGCGGAAGGCCTAAGTAGCGAATTGGGAATGATGATCGGCAGGCCGGGAAATGCTGTAGGATGTCACTGAGGTCCAGACTTGCGCACTGGATGGGGGAAACCAAGCTCTTCGCACAGTTGGTGACCAGCCCCGTTGATTTCACCAAAGGAGGAGAGCGTGTTGGCAATGAAACTGACATCCTCCTTGATAGGGGCGCAAAAAATCGCCGCATCATCAGCATATAAAGAAGCCCTAATGCCCGTGAAGTGGCTACCTAGCGGGTGCAGCAGACCCTGAGAGGTGGCCTTTTCCAAGATGTGGTGCAACGGGTCAATGGCCAGCACAAAGAGCAACGACGAGAGAGGGTCACCATGTCGAAGGCCACATCCATGCTTGATCGGGTCATCGACAATACCATTGAGCAAAACCCTGGAGGAGGCCGTGGAAAGGAGAGCCGAAACCCACCCTCTGAATCGACTCGGAAAGCCATGTTGGGTTAGCAGCTCCATTAGATAATCCCATTTTACCGAGTCAAAAGCCTTCTTAATATCAAGCTTGAAGAGGAGCATAGGAGTTTTTTTGTGGTGGAATTTCCTTGCCAAGTTCTGGACATACAGGAAGTTGTCGTGGATACTCCTTGTTTCGATGAATGCACTTTGCGCAATGGAGACGGTATTGTTCATGTGACGGCCCAGCCGTGTTACAAGGATTTTGGCAATGAGCTTTGCAATGGCATGTATCAGGCTGATGGGTCTGAAGTCTGAGATATCTCCGGCACCATCTTTCTTAGGGATGAGATATTCGCCGAGTTGAGCCAATGGAAGTTTTCCGCATGCAAATTTGAGAACTTGTTGATCACCAACATGACATCATCTTTGATAATGTCCTAGCAGACCTTGAAAATTTTCCTGGTGAAACCATCAGGTCCCGGGGCCTTGTCTCCAGGAAGAGCAGAGAGTGCATCTTTGACTTCATCCTCTGTGATGGGCTCCCCAAGGTCGAGTTCATGGGTCGTAGGGGGAAAGGCGGCCCAGTTGATAGTTTTGGAGCGTGGCGAACCCCTCTTGATAATGTTGGCAAAATGTGTCTGGACAATGCTGCTTTTATGATCATGGCTAGTTACCTAGCCACCTCCATGCTTGAGTCTGTGGATAAGGTTTTTCCGGCGTCTCCCGTTGATCTGAAGGTGAAAGTAACGGGTGTTTGCATCCCCCTCTTTGATATTTGTTATCCGCGTGTTTTGCTTTTTCCTAGCCCTTTCCATTAAAGCCAACCCGAGCACTCTTTTCTTAAGTCTTTTACGAAGGTCCACCTCCTCCGCGCTAAGATCTCTATGGTCTTGGGCCTCATCGAGAGGCAAGATGATCTCCAGAATCATGTGCAGTTGTACTTCGGCTTGGGAGAAGAGGGTCTTGCTCCAGGACCTAAGCCTCTCACTAGTAAGCTTAAGTTTGTGGAAGAGCCTTTGATACGCCTCAGAGTGCATGGAGGGCTCATTCCAAGCATCTTGGACGGTTTGGCGGAAGCCAGGCATGCTTGTCCAGAAGTTCTCAAAGCGAAAAGTCTTCGGTCGTTGGGGGCCATCGTCGTTAGCTAGCAAAAGCGGGCAATGATCCGTGAGGGAAGATGATGCGCTTGTCAAAAATAATGTCCCAATCCTCATTGCAGAAGAAGCCATCAAGCTTGGACATGGTTGGGTTGCTTTGTTCATTGCTCCAGGTGAACTTCCTATTTTGGAGGTGAATTTTTTTGAGCTCACAGAAATTGAGGGCGTCTCGGAAGCGAGCGATGCGGTTACGGTTTGCATTGGAACGGTTCAAAGATGGTTTGCATTGGAAGCGAGTGATGCGGCAATAACCTTTTTTTAATGCAAAATCGATGGGTGCGTCGGTGTTACTGCTTGTTCGGGTTTATTGGATCACTTTTAATTTGGGTCAAATTTTAACCACCTATACCACTAGAAAAATTATATGCTACACCAAATATATCATCGGATTTGTCTTCAAAGAGGATTTCCACAATATAATTCCTGTGTTATATACTTCATATTTTATTAATAGTAATTTTATTATCAAAATTTAAACTAAACCGCTAATAAACCCGGCCGGAGGAAGTAATATATAACTGTAGCTGAGAACACAAGGCGTTCCTAAAAAAACATTTCACATTGTTGCTAGCTCGGGTACACGTAGTCAAGTACACTAGAACTCATCAAGTATATATGGCTGAAGTCTAATGAACTGCATTAAGCTTCACAACAAGAGCTGCTGCCAATAGCCAAACCTGATAGTGATAGGCGACCAAGAACAGAAGAATGGAACAGAGTAACAAAAGAGCGAGATAAAAAAAAACACAATCCATTATTCCTAGATATAACTACTCACACAAGGTAAATCTCTTATACTGCCGGGGAATCAGTAAGCTCTGCGCAAAGTGCAGCTGCAATAAATAAATGAAGGAATCAAACAGCAGATTGCTGATGCAGAGATATGATTATTTCCTTAACTTGGATTATTCAGCTGTAATCTGGTAAATCATAGAGAGTTGCACAATCATGGATATTGAGGAAGAATAACAGCACTGCAGTTTCTCAACTTTGGGTAGCAAGACAGTAATCACATCGAACAGGGTAAGCGATTGTTCAAATGACTATCACACCAAATCCACTCTTACAAACATGCTACAGAGTTCAATATGGAGCATCCATATTACAGACATGATCACTGTGGGGATAAGAGGGTAGTCTGACAGTTCCAACAACACAAGAACAGACTGCTACGCATGCATTAAGCTCCGCACAAAGGAGCAGCTGCTGCAAATCAAGAAAAGATGGAACCAAACGGCATACGAGTAATACAAACATGAGATTATCTCCATGCATTATCGATACAGATATAGTAATTTCTCAGATTAATCAGCTTGTAGGATTTCTTGGGGTTGAGAGGTAGATGTGCCAGCAGCATCAGCAGCAGCTTCTTCATGAGGCTTCGAGCGTCTGTAGCGTGTTGGATATTGGACCCCATATATCTAGTAGATCATATTTCACACAGTTATAATATCTCCAGCTTTTGCATCATTGAAGAATGCTAACACCAGCAAAACCACACCGGTAAACAGCACATCACAGTGAACAACAAAAGCTTCCACGGGTAAGCAAATATGCAATTAAGAGTGAAATGCAAACGTAGAAATTGTCTTCATAAGCATCATTATTTTTCGAAAGATGGCTTCTCAGTGGCGGTGCTGACCTGGGAAGTCGATGGAGTGGCGCCGGCATATCCTTCTCCACTTGAAAGCTCCGTCCTCTGCAGCCTCTCCGGCAAGGTCTCCATCCCCATGCGTGACAACAGGAACCAGACATAAGTGAGTAACTCCACGCCAGTGCCCATACTCTTGGCATGCAGGAACCCTCGGCACCTACTGGCAGAAAAGCAGAGCATCTCCACCCACACACCTTCAATCACTTCCCACATCTTCTTATCATCCATAGCCAACAAAACTTGAGAAATCTTCCAGGCATCCTGGATAAAACCTTCTTGTGCAGGTGGATACTGCTCTTCATCCGTTGGCAATTCTATGCATCCTGGATCTGTTTCTCTGCATTTCAAGGACTCCAACTTGGCGATTATTCTGCCCATAAATCCTCTTTCAATCTCCTCAGGTGATGGCCCTTTTTCCTTCAGGAACTGAGGGAATGGCTTCTTTCCCTTGAGGATCTCCATGAGCGATGGCTTGTCGCCATTGAGGATGACCTTGAGTGATGCCTTATCATCCTCGAGGATCTCCTCCAGTTCAGCATTAGCTTCCAAGAACAGATTTCGCCTCGTGCCGGGCAATAGCATCTCAGGATTGACAAACAATAGGTACATCATGTAGTTGGAAATTTCTCTGCACCCTGTGGCCTTTTCCTGATTAACTGATTGAACACCGTTTTGGGAAAAGCACAGGTCGGTTGCGATGTGCCACAGAAGGACACTCTCATCAAATGGCTTGTTTGCACTCCATGCCAGATCTTGGTAGCATCCTGTATGCTGAATAGTCCATTGGCCCCTGTGATCATTGAACCTCCTGTAACTGGCGGCATCTACTATGTGTTCCTTCCACCAACCTTTTACATGTCCAAGAACCAACTCTGTAATTCTGGAAGATGAGGAGCATGACTCCATGCACCAACGCTGGTCAAGAAAGCCCTTGCACTTGAAGGAACTAAGGATATGCATCTTCTTGCTGTGCCTTTTGTTACGGGCAAAGAAACCTACGAGGTTATATTGGGCAACCATGCCAGAAGATGTCAGCTTAATCAGATTTGCATTCAGGGAAAATAACTCCAGCACAGCAGTACAACAGAACAAGGCATATGTAACATTGACGTCATTAACATTGTAAGCCTCTCTGTTACTCTTGTGGAAGAGGCCGATAGCTGCGAATGGCAGGAACGCAGTTGCTTCCCGTACGAGATCAGAAAAAATACGCATCAGTGTGATCTCTTCTGTGATGAATCTCATCTTTGCTTTTGTGTAGAGAAGAGCAAACATCTCGGATAGCCCTTCTTGCAGTGATCCATACACCATATTAACATCATGCACCAGGAAAGTTTCTAGGATACTTAGCCGATCACGATACGATGATGCAAGGTCTACAAATAACTTAGTGGCCTCAACACTTAATATCCTTTTATGGATTCTGCGCTTTTCTTCATCGCTCAATACCCGGGCTTGAGGAACATGGTTGGGCTCAGCTGTATCGCCTTCTCCTTGCACTTGAGGAGCACGGTTATGCTCAAGGTCAATTGTGGCGCCTCTTCCTCTTGCTTGAGGATGACCATTGCACAGGACATAATCCCTTGCTTCTTGCACATAGTCTTCAAGCATAATGTCCCTGCCAATCTTGCTTATGATCAACAAACGGGGAGCAGATGGGCTCACCCACCCTGGAAAGGTAAAATCAATATAGTCCACTATCAACTTGCGCATCATCACTGGTTGCTCATTGAAGAACATCTGTATCTTCTCAAAAAATGCACTTGGGCGTGCCATCCTCTTTAGAGCCATTGAAGCTAGGCTATTGAAGCTAGCGTTCTTGAGAGCCCAAGGCTTCTCTAGGCATTTGAGGATCCCCGGGACAAAGAGCAAGATTGATGCCTGCAATAACCTCTTGTCACCACCTGGCCATGATTTGCAAAACACGTAGATGGCCACAGTGATCTGGGTCACGGCGGTGAGGACGTGCCTCGTCCACAGCTCGTTGTCTTCGATGTTGTAGGCGGTTATACCGTCCTGTCCACCGAGGTGCATCAGGAGAATGGGAGCCCAAACTACTTCCAGGATGCTATTGCTGTGGACAGAACCATGATCCTGCTTCATCTGGCGGCTAAAGAGGGTAGCCATGGCGTATATTGCCAGAGCATCGCTGCCTAGGTATACAAGCCATATTAGGGACCTGAACCAGCAAGGAATAGCAAGCTTACGCACGGCAGACAAAATAAGGAGGAGCCACTGGAGGAAGAGGCTGCCCAAAACGAGGATGCGCAGCTGCCACTCCTCCCACCATTCCACAGCACTTGAGAGACTCATGCATGCAGTGCCTTGGCTTCCTCGTCCCCGCGAGGTCGGCGGTTATTTTCCACTATTTCTCTGGGTCTGGGGGTCACAGGTGAGGCATGAAAATCATTCCCTAATCAAGGCTAGAGCTTACCAATGGAATGGGTTGATGTTGATGTGCCTTGCGTGCTGGAGGCAATTGATTACTACGACTACATTCCTCCCGTGTTAGTGAAACAAATTGATGCCCTCCTCTCTATCTTTTGCTTTCCTACAGGAATCGGACCCATGATTACTGGAGTGCCGTTCTTCTTTTCACTTTCCACCACGCACCGGGTCGGGACTGGATTGTGCAACACTTTGCAGACCCATTTCTTTGTGACTCTGTCTCACATCGCAGGGCCAAGCAAGCATGTTAGAGCAACTTCAACGGGCCGACCCAAACGGATGGCGATTTCGTCCGCTTTTTGTCCGTTTGGGTCGGCCAGACGGACACGGATGCCCGCTTTCACATTTAGATCGGCACCTGTGTCCAACACTGACCTGCGACCCATTTAGACGGCGCCAAAAAAATGAACGCATACATATTTAAAAAAAAACTGCATTAAAGACCGGCGAGAGTCCACGCGTCCATGTTTGCATAAAAAACAGCCTAAACTACGAGGAGGCGCGCTGCCCTAGGCGTCGTCCTCGGAGTCCGTGAGGTCGATGAGCGTCGGCGCCGGCCCGGCCCAGGCGAACGCTGTATTCCAGAGCGCTGCCATGTCGGGCTGTGCCGGCGCGGGCAGTGCCGGAGCGGGGGGCTGTGCGGCCGCCTGTGCAGCCACGGCCTGGCGCGCCTCCTCCTCGGCCTCGCGCGCCTTCTCTTCGAGGTCGCGCTCGAGCATCTCCTCGTACTCACCTTGCCGGCGCTCCTCTGCCAGCCGGCGCTGGCACCACATCTCGAGGTAGGCCTGCTCCTGCGCCGGCGTCGCCCCCAACCAGACCGGTGGCGTGGACACCCACTCGCGCACCACTCCATTCGAGGAGAAGCGCGCGATGGACTCGGGCTCGGGCTCCGGCTGCGGCTTGATGGGGGACGGCGGGGCCACCGGCGGCACCACGTTGTCGCCCTCCTGGAGAGGGCAAGGGCTTGCGCCATTGCCGCCTCGTAGCGGGCCTCCTCTTCCGCCTCCGCCGCTTCCGCTCTGCGTCGTTCGTCTTCTTCGCTCTCACGGTAGACGGCCACAAGGGCCGCCTGGTAGGCGTCCTCCGCCGCCTGGTCTTCCTCGCGGACGACCAGTGGCGTTGGCCTCCGGTCGACCTCGCGCACGCCCCGGCGCCTCGCCTCCTCGTGCTCGAAGGCGAACCACCTCGCCCAGTTGGGCGAGTCGGTTGCGTAGGCGGAGTCGCGGCGCTGCTCCGCCGTCAGCAGCGCCCGCCGGCGCCGCACCTCCTCCGCGTGAGCACGAGCCGACCGCGGCGCCGCCGGCACTGGGATCCTATCTGGATCCAGATGCCAGTCGTGCGGCAGCGTCACGTCGGGATACGGCAGCGGCTGGCGGTTCTGCCAGTGCCACTTCGCCTGGTGCACTGGCACGCTGACGCGCTGCCTCTGCCTGCGAGACGCCGGCGGGGGTGGGAGAAACTCGAAGGGGAAAGGGGTGGCGGGGGACTTGCCCTTGTCCTTGCTGTCGCTGGCGCCGGAGAAGAGGCCCATCGTCGCTGTGGCTGCGGTGGCTAGGTTTTGTCGGCGACGAGGGAGCAAGGGTGGGCAGATGGGGACGGCGAGTTTGGATGAGGACGACCCCGCCACACGATCGGCTTAAAAAAGGACAAGCGCCGTCGCTGAGGTGTGGGCCCGTCGTCATAAATTAAGCTGACCGCGTGGGCAGCGGGTAGTTGGACGGCCGCCATGTGAAAACGCGGCGGATAATGAGAAGGCGCACGAAGCATCCGTTCGGCGTCCGCGCCAACGCATTTAGGGCGCAAATTTGGGCCGCAAATGCGTTGGCGCGGACGCGACACGGACGTGATTTGGTTTGGGTCGGCGCGTTAGGCCACCACTTTGTCCACGCCGACCCAAACGGACGCAGGCGAACGAAATGCTCTTAGGACGCAGTGGAGCGGACGGGAATAAAGACGAGCACCTGGCGTGCAAGCTGCAGGCAAAAGCTGCTGACCTCAACCTGGTGGCGTGGCGCTTCCGGCAGCTGATGGAGGAGTGGACGCCGGTCATGCGGTCGGGCGCAGTTCACCCGGAGTACGCCGTTTCCCGGCAGGAGGTTGGCGATGACGAGGCCATCTCCCTTCGCGCGACCACGCGCGCAGTTCCTCGCCGTCGCCGCCCGCCACCTTGAGTCTCGCGCCGGCCGGCTGGCCCCCGCATTTGAGGTTGCTCGTCGACATGCCGCCGCACGTACGGCCAACGAGGAATGGCGAGCGTCGGCCTGGATCCCTGCGGCTTGCGGGGCGCGCGGCCACGGCGTGAACTCCGGCGCTGCGCTGCGCTGCTCGACTCATCTCAGGACCAGAGCAGAGGAAAGAGTTGGTCGACTCACGGCGGGCCATTCTGTAGCTGTAATTGGTGTTGGGCCGGGCAGATGGGCCTGACCGGCTGGGCATGAGAAGCCCAGTATGGCCAACAATTTTTTGTTTTTACTGCGATGTAGGGGCCTTGCATGCTTTAACTGAGATCACAATGCATCATTCACCTAAAAAATCATTCCAGATTATTGCACACCACTACACCAGGTAGGGGTCGTCAAGTAGAAGTAATCAATTTCGTAAAAAAAAAAACAGAAACAGGTAAAAAAAAAGCGCCATTATTTATCCCTTGATTTTCTTTACTTGTAATAACTATTCCTAGATATAGCTAGTCACACTAAGGTAAAACTCTCACACTACTTTCGGAGCATCATTAAGCTCTGCACAAAGTGCATCTGCAGCCAAGCCATGGAAGGATCAAACGGCACACTGCTAACGCAGACACAACATTATTTACTTTCTCAGATTATTCAGTGGCATTCCCTGGGGTCGAGAGGTAGATACACCACCAGCAGCAGCAGCAGCTTCTTTCCATCCCCTCCCATATGTATCAGCTGGTAGGTCACACATGCACAAAGTAATGCAATCAAGAGTATTGAGGAAGAATAACAGCACTGCGATTTCTGACCTTTCGGTGATGATACATTTGATTACATCAACAGGGTAAACAGTGGTTCAGGTGACTATCACGACACCAAATCCACTCTCGCAAACATGCTACAGGACTTAACATGGAGCATCCGTACTACAGACATGATCATTGTGGAGATAAGAGGTAATCTGGCAGTTCTAAGAGCACACAAACAGACTGCTAGGCATCAAACGGGACCAGTACATTATGCTCTGCACAAAGGAGCAGCTGCTGCAAATCAAGAAATGAAGGAATCGATGGCAGTCGGGAGATGAGTAATACAGAAATGGGATTACCTCAGAGCATAATCAATAGAGATAATAATTTCTCAGACTAATCAGCTGGTAATATTTCCTGGGGTTGAGATGTAGATGCGCCAACAGCTGCAGCTTCTTCTTCTTCATGAGGTCTGAAGCTTCTAGAGCGTGTTGGATACTGGATCCCATATATCTGGTTGATCACATATTCACATAGTTATAATGTATGGATCCAACCTTCGCACAATTGAAGAACGGAAACAACAGCAAAACCACACCAATAAAAAAGCACATCACAATGAGCAAATAACACAACATACTTCCACGGAGAAGAAACAAGGATTGAAACACTGATGCTAAAAAATTTAATACTGAAATGCAGAGTATAATGGTCTTGATATAACCATAAGCATCCTCGTTCAAACAATGGCTTTCTCAGTGGCGGTGCTGACCTCGAAAGTCTATGGAGTGGCACCGGCTTCCTTCTCCACTTGGAAGGTCCGTCCTCTGCAGCCTTTGACTGATGCCCGGCGTCGCCCAATTATTAAGTGATACCATTATATATCGTTCATGGCGGGTGGTGTTATATATGCAGTTCGATCGTCCCACAAGGGGAAACACAACTAGCTCGCAGGTAGAACAAAACGAGTACAGTATATATATATGGCTGCTATACATATATCCAATTCACTGCTTTAAGCTGCACAAGAGGTGCTGTTGCAAATAGCCAAACTTGGCAGGAAATCAAGAATTAGAGGAATGGAACAGCGTAACATAGACGCTACATAAATAAAACAGGACATCAAATACTCTCGCACAAAATCACAAGTAATACATCAACTGGGTTATCAAATGTTGAAATGACCATCACACAAAATCCATTCTTACACTTACTGCACGCTGTAGCAACGAACATACAGACACATACATGCTTATATTATGCTCTAGAACATGAGCACCAAAATAGCATTCAACGCATTGCAGGAAGAAATCAAGACAAAATCTTTCACCGGTAGCATTAGCACCATTATCAAGCAATGGCTTCCTCAGCGGCGGCAATGGCCTAGGGGGTGGCAAGAGAAGCAACAAATAGTTCCTTAAAACATACTCCCTCCGTCCCAAAATATAAGAACGTTTTTGACAGTGTCAAAAACGTTCTTATATTTTGGGACGGAGGGAGTACCTACTTGGCATCAGTAATTTCCACAAGCTAGCCCATCTCTATGTCGCCTTCTGCAGATTGACCGTCTCTGCCTTGGGAACGGGAAGGAAGTGCTTCTTCTTGTTCATATTGAAGAGGCTCTGACCTGTGATTCCTATCCGCCAATGTCTCCATTCCCATGAACGACCAAAGGAGATAGATGTAGGAAAGGAACTCCCCGCCTTCACCCAAGCTCTTGGCATGCAGGTACCCCCTGCATCTGCTGGCGGAATAACAGAGCATCTCCACCCACACACCTTGGATCACAATCCACCTCTCATCCTCACTGCCTAGCTCCATTAGTGCTTCGGCGAGTTTGCGTGCATTGGTAATCATATCATTTGATCGCGGCAACGACATTTCAAGGATCGCCTGCACAAGATTTTCTTCTGTCATGTTGAGCGGTCCCTCGCTAAATTTTAAAATCTGGTCGTTGGCTAACTTGAAAAGACCTGGCCTGGTGCCAAGTATTAGCATCTCAGGACGGATGAGAAGCAAGTAGAACATATAATTGGATATGCTCCTACTGTCTTGTGTGGCTTCTCCTTGTCGACGTCGAGGGGATGTGTTGGGGTGATAAAAGCAGAGCTCTGTGGCAACGTGCCAGATGAGGATGCTCTCATCAAAAGCCATCTTCAAGCTCCATCCTAGCTGATGGTGCATCCTTAGAGCCAACTGGCCTCGTAGCTCGCTGAAGCTCCTGTAACTTGTTGTGTCGCATATGTACTTCTTCCACCCCTCTTCCATGTGCCGGTGAACTTTCCCCGTGATCTGGTAGGCTATAGGTACTTGATGAATATACCAATGTTGGTTAAGAAGCTCTCTCAGAAAGTCGAAGGTAACAAGCTTCATGAGGAATGTGGGCTTGTTCTTGCGAACACATATGGACATGATGTTGTGCTGGGAAACCATGTCGTGCCACCCTTCAATAGGATCGTTAAGGAAATTAAAGATACATGGAACTAGTAGCCCAGAGAAAATTGTGCAGGGAAGCAAAAGCTCCAACATGGTGGTACAACATAATAGGATGTATGTCACCCTGATGTCCTTCTTGTTCTGACCATCCTTGTGGCTCACGGCAAAGAGCACAATAGAAGCTAAGGCTAGAAACGGAAGCAAAAGGAGTGAGACAATGCCAAGTCCAGTGAAAATTGATTCATTTCTGGTGTAAATGTCATCAAATGTTTTTCCTAGCCTCGTCTGCAACCTACTGTATGCATGCTTATATTCAAGCTTTAGGAAAGATGGCAACCCTTTAATTCGAGCAGAGTATGGAACAGACTGATCAACAAACATACAATCCATATCGTACATATACTCAATGTCTTCCTTTCTGTCCAGTACGCACCTCTTTGCTGCTTGTACATATTCTTCACGCGTATATTCTTCTTCGCTTTGCATGGCTGACAGGGGCACGGTGCTGGAGGATTGGAAGCTGTTAAAGCTAGCGGTCTTGAGAGCCCATGGCTTCTGAGCAAATCTAAGAACTCCAAGAATAAAGAGCAAGACCGCTGCCGCCAGCTGCGTCTTCTCGCCGGACCACCATCTGCAGAAGACATACAAGGCGATCGTGACCTGAGACACAAGGGTTACTATCTGTCGTTTCCATAGCTCGTTGTCTTCTAGGCTGTAGGCACTTATCCTTGGCTGGCCGCCAAGATGGATGAGAAGGACAGGCACCCATAGGACCTCCAGGTTGCTGCCCTCCCCATCACAAGTCTGCCTGTGGCGGTTGAAGAGGGTGGCGAGGGCAAAGATTTTATTCAAATATATTGCAACCTATTACCACAACAAATATTTAACAACTATACAACAATCAAATGCTTTGAATCTTATGTATTTTGAGTTTGGTTTCTCATGCTATTATAATAAATAATCATATTTCATATAACAAAATCTCATTAAAATATATTGCAACCAATTCCCGAAGCAACGCGCGGGGTATTATCTAGTTTTTGAAAATCTTCATACCATTGGTTAAGGATGTCTCGTCACGAACAAAGGTTCCAGTAAATATTAATATTTTTCAGATAGAAAATATTAATATCATAGTTTTAAATAGCCGTCGCTATAGCCCGCTATAGCCTTTTTAGTAGGGCGCCGCTAAATGATCGCCTTTACAAATATCCCGCTATAGCCTGCTATAGCCCGCTATAACTGATTTGGAGGACCGCCGCTATTTTCCATAGCCCGCTATTTAAAACATTGATTAATATTGATACTAATTGTACTAACTAAGGTGACAAAACTACAATATAAACAATATGGTAAAATTCTAGTCAACATATTATGTATTGAGATATAATGAAATAAATAAAACAAAAAGGAAGATATAAAAAAGAAAAGGAGAAAGGGAAAAATAAAAGAAGACAAAAATGAAAAGAAAGAAAGAAAAGCAACAAACACACAAAAAAGGGAGAGATGAGAATGACAAAAAAGTAAGAACAAGAAGAAAGAAACACCTGATTGGTTTGGCCAACAGGAATGAGCCGAGGGTATGCGGAGCTTGCTTTGCTCCACAATGAAATACACCATCCGTGCCAAAATATAGATGTATCTTGATTCGTTAAGCAATGGTATTCTGCCAAAAAAAAAGCGTTAAGCAATGGTAATTCATATCTGACACAAAATTGGTGCAGTCTGGGTGACAGGCTAACCAGCAGCACAACAGCTCCTTTCCTTGCCGCTTCCTCTATTCAGGCGCTAGCTCTTTGCCACTTCCTCTCTTTTTAAATTTGGAACTTTGAATAGCTTTAGATATGCGCATTGGCATGTTATAGCTTTATTTAGATTGCATAACTGATCGGTGGAACCTGGGTGGATGGCGTGCCATGATAGAGACACAGTTGTAACAACACACAAACAGGACTCTGCTGCACCATTAATCTCTGCACATAAGTGCTGCTTCAGACCACGAAAATGAAGGTATCAGACGGCAGATTTCTGATACAGACAGGATTATTTCCTTTCCCAGATCATATCAACTGCTACTTCTTGGGGTCGAGAGGCAGATGCCGCCGCAGCAGCAGAGCAATTTTGTTCCATCCCTCCCTTCCCATGTATCTGACAGATCATGGATATTGAGCATTCTGGCCTTTGGGTAGTTTTAAATTATTACATCAACAGGGTAAACAATTGTTCAGGTAATCAAATGATATCACACCAAGGCTACAGAATTTAGCACTGAGGCATCCTGGAGTAATCTAGAATCCATAATACAAACATGATCGCTGTAGAGATAAGAGGTAATCTTGCATACTACAGGCATCATCATTGTAGAGATAACAGGCAATCTGGCAGTACTAATAGCACGCGAACATAGTGCTAGGCGTCAAATTGTACCAGTTCATTAAACTCTGTAGAAAGGAACAGCTGATGCTTATCAAGAGATGAAGGAACCGGCTGGCAGATGGGTAATAGACTTCTCCGACTAATCAGCCAGTAGTATTTCTTGGGGTTGAGAGGTAGATGCGCCAGCAGCTGCAGCTTCTTCATGTGATCTTGTTAGCGGCTAGGGTTCTGCCCGGTCTTGGTCGGAGACAGTAGGGGAAGGAGGAGGAGGGGCGAGGGCTTGGGCGCGGCGGCCGGCGGCGAGGCGCCGTCCTGGCGTGGTGCGGCGGCGGCGAGAGAAGGAGGCGGCTAGGGTTTAGGGTTTCCGGCTCCTCTGGGAGCTGGGCAATAGAAATAGTCTTATTGCTTAAATCCAAAAAGAGTCTTACAACCTATATTTATATCCTAGATAACTTGTAAAAGAATTAACCTAAGATAACTTGCCTAATCTGAAAATAAAAACTAAGATAACTTGCGGGCCTAAGCCTGCATGTTGGGCCTCCTTCGGCCATAGACCTGGCCGGTCATAACATCTCTCCCCGCCTGCGCAAACAACTCGTCCTCGAGCTGAAAGTCGGAGTAGTGCTGGCGGAACTCCTCGCGCTGCTCCCAAGTAGCATCCTCCTCTGGTAGTCCAGTCCACCGGATTAACACGTACCAGGAGCCTCGGCGCAGCTGAGCCTGCAACGCCTTCTCTGGTTCAGGAAGGAGACGCCCGTCCGTGACCGGTGGAAGAGCCGGCGGTGCCGCAGGTGGCTCGCCGCGGAATGGCTTGAGCAGCCCGACATGGAAGACATCATGGATCCAGGCGCCTGCCGGAAGCTGCAGACGGTAAGCCACTTTCCCAATGCGTTCCAGGATCGCAAAGGGACCGGCATAGCGAGGACCGAGCTTCTTCCTCGCCCGGGGGTCCAAGGACTGCGTAGAGCGATGAAGTAGATGCAGCCAGACCCAATCACCCACCGCGTACTCCGCCTCGCGATGGTGGCCATCATAGTAACGTTTGGCCAACTGCTGGGCCTGCAGGAGTCGTTGCTGGATCTCCGCGATCATCTCATCACGACTCCTCAGAAGGGTCCTGGCTACCTCGGTCCACGCCGAGGCCGGATCAACCGGAAGGATCGGCGGGGGTGGCCGGCCATACACCACCTCAAAGGGCGTAGCCCGCAGGGCGGAGTGATAAGAGGTGTTGTAGCAGTACTCCGCCCACGAGAGCCAGTCCACCCATGCACGAGGGCGATCACCTGTAACACAGCGCAAATACATGGCAATCACCTTGTTAACGATCTCAGACTGCCCGTCCGTCTGAGGGTGGAAGGCTGTGCTGAGGCGTAGCTTTACGCCCGCCAGCCGGAAAAGGTCACGCCACACGTGTCCCGTGAACACGGGGTTCCGATCACTGACGATCGAAGAAGGGAACCCGTGGAGACGGACAATGCCATCGAAGAAGGCCCGGGCAACCGATGCCGCGGAATACGGATGGTCGAGTGGTATGAAATGAGCATACTTGGAGAAGCGGTCGACCACCGTGAGAATGACAGACTTGCCGCCCACCTTGGGAAGGCCCTCGATGAAGTCCATGGAGATGTCCGCCCAAACCTGAGTAGGGACCTCCAAGGGTTGCAGCATGCCAGCCGGCCGTAGGGTCTCCGTCTTGTTGCGCTGGCACGTCACACACGACCGTACCCAGTCACGGACCAAGGCACGATCACCGGGAATGTAGAAGTCGGCGCGGAGACGATGGAGCGTCTTCTGCACTCCCTCATGGCCTGCCGAGTGAGCGAGGCGCAGCACCTGCTGGCGAAGATCGTCGTGCGCCGGAACGAAGACCCGGCGCCCATGTAGAAGCAGGCCATCGGCAAGGCGCCACGGTTCCTCCAGCTCACCCGCCGCCAGCTGCTGCTGTAGGATGAGGGAATCGGCCGCAGCAGCGGACGCCCGGCGGATGTCGTCGTAGAGGGCGAAGGAGGGCCCATGATGATGCAGAAGGCCGCCCCCTCCGCCGCACCATCGTCCACATCGGCATCACGCCGAGACAGGGTGTCGGCGACGGTGTTAAGGCGACCCGGACGGTACTCGACGGTGAAGTCAAAGCCAAAGAGTTTACTGATCCATTGGTGCTGGGGCACCGTCGAGAGCCTCTGATCTAGCATGAACTTGAGGCTGTAATGATCCGTGCGGATCCGAAAAGAGCGACCCCAAAGATAGGGCCGCCAATGGCGTACGGCCTGTACCAACCCAATGAGCTCACGCTCATACGCCGCCAACTTAAGATGACGTGCGGCAAATGGGCGACTGAAGAAAGCGAGGGGTCCCTCGCCCTGGTGTAGGACCGCACTGAACCCCGCACCGGAAGCATCGCAGTCGACGGTGAGAGGGAGGTCAAAATCCGGCATCTGCAGTACGGGTCCCGTCGTGAGGGCCCCCTTGAGGGCCTCGAAGGCTGAAGTGGCCTCCTCATCCCAAGAGAAGGCGTCGCGCCGGAGGAGACGCGTGAGTGGGGCCGCGATGAGGCCAAACTCCCGGATGAACTTCCGGTAGTACCCCGCGAGGCCAAGAAACCCGCGAAGAGCACGCGGAGACTGCGGAATCGGCCAGGCGGCGACGGCCGCTACCTTGTCGGCATCCATGGCCACTCCCTCGGCCGAGATGACGTGGCCGAGGTAAGCGACCGAAGGCGCCCCGAATGAGCACTTCGAGCGCTTAAGATGAAGATGATGCGTCCGAAGCTCGTTGAAGACGATGGCCACATGCTGGAGGTGCTCTGCCCAAGAGGCGCTGTAGATAAGAATGTCATCAAAGAAAACGAGCACAAACCGACATAAGTAGGACCGAAGGACATCGTTCATCAAGGCCTGAAACGTCGCCGGGGCGTTGGAGAGGCCAAAGGGCATCACCAAGAACTCAAAGTGGCCGTGATGAGTCTGAAATGCCGTCTTGGCAATGTCGTCTGGATGCATGCGCACCTGATGATACCTCGATCGAAGGTCCAGCTTGGTGAAGAAGCGTGCCCCGTGCAGCTCGTCGAGAAGCTCATCGACAACCGGAATCGGAAACTTGTCCTTCAATGT